GCCTGTCCAACCTCGTGGGTTTTCTCCGTGTCCTCCGGTTTCCTCCCACTGCTAAAGACCCCTATGCGCAAGCGAATTATTGAAATAAAATTAAACCATATGTTTGTCCCGAAATGACCTAGTTTGTGTCGAGTGGACGTTAAACCCCATTCTCTCTCTCTATCTCTCTCTTTATGAATCATGAACCGATCATTAATATCAAAGACGTCATCTCAACATCTTGGAATTGTGACGTCATATCGAATATCGATGGCATGCCACCATTCTCCCGTGCAAGTCTCGCTATCCAGATTTCATGAACTGCAAGGGAAGGTAACTCTATTTGGAAGATTGGCATGACATTTCGTAGAATAATCATCGTCCCAAAGCAGATGATTACCTTCTGGATAGAACCAGTTTCTGGTTTTAAAAAACCTCAGATATATTATTTTGTTTATACAATTCCAAATGTATTTTAAAAAAAAAACCCAAAAACATTATGAGACCTAATTACCAGTGTAAGGAAATAAATGGGCTCTAGACTAATTATTTGCCAGTATAAAGTAAATATATGATTAATTTCGATTTGTGATATGACGCCACCATCCCAAGATGGCTACAATGATGGATGGCATAGTCAGTTAATTTAAATAATTTAATACATTCAAGTAAGCATTTGCTGTTATGTTGACATACTTGTTGCTGAGCATAAACGTACAACAGTTTCTGAGATAAAAACCATGGAAAAAGACGCGGGCAGTGGATAATCCAAGAATTTAATTAGGCTTCGATATTTGTGATAAATGGACAGCGATTAAAGACAACATCGTCTTGTATATACACTGAATTCTCCTCAGGCTTTGCATCCGTTGCTAGGTCACGTGACATAAACATGGCTTCTTTTAATAGATTTGTTTTATAGCAAGGGTAATCCCTCGCGAGTGCAATGTTTTCAGAAGGATTTGAAGCAAAATTTTGATATATTACTTAGTTTGAATATGTTTTATGTCCAAATATATCATTAAATCACCACGTTTGTACGCGGGAAGGTATCTTCAGCAGTTGTGATTTTAATGGGCTACAGCCATGGCGATGTCGTGTATGTAAGAAATTACGTTTCCTGTTAATAGATAATTAGGTAGATGTTTCGGTTGATCAAATTTACTTATTTTTGATCTGAAAACTGTTATATTAGAAGCAGCTTTAGAAGTCGAATCTATGTTGGGGAAAAACGATCTTTTAAACCTTAAAGTTCGACAACGCGGCGTCAAATAAATCGTTTGTATTTCGTTATGAGTGATGAATACGGTGTGTAACTGTTTCTATGTTGTTGTAAGGTATTTGAGAGAGAGAGAGAGAGAGAGAGAGCGATGGGTTTAACGTCCACACGACACATACTAGGTCATTTCAGAACTAACACATGCTTCAATTTTATTTCAATAATTCGCTTGCGCGTAGGGGTCTTTTAGCAGTGGGAGGAAACAGGAGGACCCAGAGTGAACCCACGAGATTGGACAGGCGAACTTACTCTTTGTCACGTACTACCGGCTAATCGAAACCCCGCCAGATGACTCAATGACAGACCCTATGATACAGCGCGCAAGTGCTAACCATTCGACCATCAAAGAATTAGCACAACCAATGACTGTGTCATCAGAAAATAACATGGCAATATTGTACAGTACTTCATAGGTGGCGTTTATGAAGACAAGGAACACGAACGGCCCCAGGACTGATCCCTGTGGCACTCCAGAATACAGGTTAATCTGTCAGGAGTAAACTCATGGCTTTTCACTCGAAAAAACTCAAACAAGGACAGAGGTTCCGGCCACGCGCAGACGATTTTAACCCTAACGATAATCAGTTGCCTAGCAAATTAATGATGACGAAGATTACTTATCCAAATCTATTCACTTTACAAATGTAATGTTGTGGATTGTGAAAAGGGTATATGTTTATTACCAGCGCAGATAATCTAAATGGAGATCACTAATCCGCGAGGTTCACTAATCGGGGCGGTCACTAATCCGCGGGGTTCACTAATCTGGGCGATTACTAATCCGCGAGGTTCACTAATCCGGACGGTCACTAATTCGCGAGGTTCACTAATCGGGACGGTCACTAATTCGCGAGGTTCACTAATCGGGATTCACTAATCGGGACGGTCACTAATTCGCGAGGTTCACTAATCGGGACGGTCACTAATCCGTGGGTTCACTAGTCCACCACTCTGCCAAAATCTGTATCCATATATGGGTATTCAAATAACCAGTAAGGCCTACAGACGTTTTTTTTTTAAAAAGCGTTTTGTCAAGGTCAAAAGATCTAGAGACGGTTCCGCCAATACAATCAACCTAACACTAACTATTGAGCATTCCCCAATGATTGCCCGAATAACTGACATTCAAGTTGCCATAGCCTATGATTTTATGTAGACAAATTTAATCGGAATATTATTTTGATGCCAAATGTGAACTGCCGAAAGTACACTTTATTATCAAGTTTGTAATTTGTAATTCGGTAGAACGTTGTCGGCGTTTGAGACAAGTCATGAACGTGTTGTCGTTGCCCCGCGAAAATGATATAATGTCTATCAACATAAACTTTTTAAAATAGCTTTCAGTTGCCAAGACTTATAAATATTTAATGAACAAAGCCTCTTTTAGTATCATGATTTACGAGCGCGGTAAAAATACAGGAATTTGTTTTTTAAAGCTACAATTTCATATTTTTAAGTTATATTTTTAAAATTTATTAAAATAAAGCCTTAAAATAGATGGTATCTAATCTATTAACAGTCCTACCTTGTTAAAGAATAATCCTATTATTCCTATAATTCACTATTGCCAGTTGAGAAATTGGCAAAAATATCATTTTCAACTTCAAATTCAATCGTTTGAAGATAGTTATTCCATGAGGGGGGGGGGGGGTAATAGGAAAACAAGGGAGGTAATTGTGTTATTATTTCCTGTGTCAATGATTTTTAAGTGTGGGGAATAACGCCTATGATCGTATAATAGTGAGTTGATAACCTATTGAGCAAAAGACATAGAAATAATTGTGTTTTGACTTTCTTAGAAAATATGAAATTCTCGCTTTAAACTCGTGTTTATAGTTATAAGTGCAGGAATGAGATAAAGTGGCTAATTAAAATCCTAGAATAATTTGTTTATTTAAACCCCGCCGTCTTTTTGATCACAGAAGATGATAATTCATAATAAAACTACGTGTATATAGCTAATATAAATCCAGTAGGTCTGTTTGAAAAAGATTACCGGGCTGCACATAAAGACATAAAGAAATAAATCGCCGATTGTCGACGAGCGGTAATCGATTAACCCTATAAATCTGCGACAATCGCTTATCGATATTCAGTGTCAGGTATTGTCAGCTCAGGTGTAATTAGATCCGAGGTGGTTGCCGGTAGACGGCGCTAACAGTGATAATTACCTGTGTTGCGTCTATATTCGGTGTGATAATTACGTGTAGCTGTCGATACGAAACTAAATTTAACTGACATTTATTAGCACTATAAACTACAAGGACTGGGGAGTTGTTGGTTTTATGGTTAATGCTGTCAACCAGAAATTAATGGTAAACCCACTAGAATACTAACGGGGATGGACTGGGGTTTCGCGTTCTGTCGTGAGTCACAGACTAACATACGGTATAATCTTTGAATGACATTTAGCGATTGAACATAATATAACACAACACAGTTCTATGGATAACAATCACTATATTATATACACACGACGTTTCGACCGGGTTTGTTTCTGTTATGCGTTAACTTCCATTTCTCTCTCGCTCTTCTACATAAACTGACCTTTTGGGAATAGTAACGGTTCTGTGTCTCAAGTTCAATAGACACTGGGGGTTGGATGATAGAATGGTTAGCGTGTGCGCGCTGTATCATAAAGTCTGTCATTGAGTCAACTGGCGTGGTTTCGATTCCCCGGTTGTACGTGACAAGGAGTAGGGTCGCCTGTCCAACCTCGGCGGTTTTCTCTGGATTTTATTGATGGCGAATTAGACCAAAACAAACTGGAAATGATATTTTCGTCAATTGGTGTGTCTGCATAAAAAAAACTTACAGCGACAGTGTTCAGATTTTTATCGGCCAAGATCACAGAATGACATAACTGATGGCGTCAGTATTTGATTGATCGTAAGAAGCGCTATTACACGCATGCCGATTTTCCTACATTAACAAGTAATAAATATTAAATACTTTAGAAACGGAAACGCTGTTACGTGTCATACAAATTGAAGTAAAGCAATTCTGACATTAAGAAACTCTTACATTGCTAAATATCAAAAGGTTTATTTGTTATTGGAAAATGAAATCTTTCGAGTGTCACAAACTACAGGTTCCTAGCGTGGAATATGGCAGATGACTTTCTACTGACTTTCAGTTAGAACGCTCTGGGTTTGTTTGTTTGTTTGTTTTTGATTAATAAAGCAAAAGTAAAATGCAACCGTTGCCAAGGCGAGGGTTTATTGCTCAAATATTTAATATTCTATTATATTCCATCAGTAAAAAAAGTGTGTGGTTACCGCTGCATTCTCATGGTTACAAAAAAATTCAAACCAATTTTTATATAATTGGGTAGAACATGCTAGTGTTGATTTGAAGCCCATTCGAGAGAGAGAGAGAGAGAGAGGGGGGGGGGGGGGGGTCAGAAATGGAACAGATATGGTAATTGCGTGCCAATAGAGTTGAAACCCGCACTTTGACTTTTTTCAGCTGAGGGGGGTGGGGGAGTGAGAGAGCACAGAACTCTGAAAACTCTAAGCATATAACCCAAATCGTATCCATATATTGCCTTCAATTAATCCATGGACGTATAAACCTCTGGTTTTTACCTCTTCCCCTATTCAGAGATGATAGTGCGTGAGCCGATAGCGGTTACCGAATTCTCTTCCCTAACCGGAAGTAACCTTACCGGAAGTAACCTTGTGACCCCCACTCTGAACTATAGACATATTGTCTGGAATAGGTTTACTGTAAATACACTTACCATAAAGTTTTCTCAGCACCTTTTTAATACTTTTATCCCAAAACGTCCGAGAACGACACGTTGGAAATCGCCAACATAAAATAGCGACCACTGTTGCTAGTATAACCACCGTCACGGCACCTGTGATAATTCCTGCTACTTCCGCTGGTGGAACTGAAACAGAAAATAAAAGAAATAAAAATATCTTTTTAGAACGAAGCTTTTAGAAAAGGACTATATAGAATGGCCTACACTACAATTCGGGTATCATGTAGTTGTGCTTTTTAAGTGGGAGTATCCATATTTAATGTTTAGTTTTAAACCATTGTTCAAAAATTGTTCAAATTTATCGAAACATATTGACTTCCTACTGTCGCGTAGTTAAAAATGTTCGTTCGTTCGTTCCTGGAGTTTTACGTCAACTTCCACCAAGAAAAAAAAATAGTCCGTTTAGATTAGATAATGAGTGCCAGGTTTACAACCGTTTACTTTCCCAAGCTAATTAGTTTCTCAACACCTTTATTAACCCGAAACCATGACAACTGAAACTGGTTTTGGGTGTACCGGAAATGTATCATATTGTCTGGTGTAAACAATACCACCCGGTACTGCTCTCCATTACGGAAATGTTCTCACGTGACGGAGTAACTTGTTACACTTTTCGTTCTTTGAATCTGGCTATTGCCAGATTAAGCGTTCAGTACAGATTACTTTACAAGACAAAGGACATTACATAACCGGGTCAGCTGTAATAACTAATGACTTGGATATGGCTCTGCCTAGCCGTGCCAGTGTCTAACACCTGGTGTCATTATATGCTAAGGCTGTGTCAAGGGCGTTAGGTGACATTTTCCTAAATAATCCCAAATTTTGTAACATACTGGATGTCTTAGAAATTAATCTTCCGGAACACACACACTCCACACACACACACACACACACACACAGGACGTCCACTCAATATTTGGGTCTACGAATTTGTGCACTTGGTATTTTGCTTCCAGTTGAATTATTTGTGGTTTTTTTTTGTATTCAGGTCCATGGATTGGGATATTTTGTTACCAGTTCGGTTCTATGGAGTTTTGTATATTCTTATCCATTCAGTTCTAAGGATTTTTATATTTTGTTACTTGTTCAAGTCTATGGATTTTCCTACTCGTTAGAATAGGATATTGCCCGTTGTATATTATTATTTCAGTCTCTTTCTCGAACAGTATTAGATGACTTATTGTTTACTGTAATACCAAGAACGTTGAGCTGATTGTTCACGCTTGTTCTTCAGATTCCTAACATGATACAACCTCCTTGTTTAATGGGCAAATACAGTTCATGTCTAGAACAAGTCGGGTATATATTGTCAACCTATTGATTGTAAAATGAAGATGACGAAAAGTGGAAATGTAAATTCGAGCGTGCAGAGAACAACACTTGACTCGTCTGTTGTCATGTAACGACGTCTTTAATCACTATGGACACCCTTTCTACTCTAAACATAAACAACTCGTTGCTATGACAACAACCATAGAAACACAACTTCAGAGTATGATTAAAGGTAAAAACCAAAATAACTGAGAGTTTTAATGTGAAAAGAATAACCCTAAAAGAACAGAATTTTCGCCATGTTGCTGGTGAAAATGAATACTTTTGATGTTTAAGTTGCTAAGCGACCTATTATTAAAATGTATAAGGTTTTTTGTTGCTACAAAAACTGTCTTCAGCGTATTGTTTTATGTTTCGAAGAAGAGCATCTTGATGTTTAAAATTTATGAAGCATCTTTAATTAAGAATAATGGTGGTCTTAAAAGTCTTTTATTTTCGTAATTTAAAAGTGATAAATTGTAACTAACGCCGAGTCTTATATCTCATAACGGCTGTCCCGAATTTAGGTAAACTCCGGAATTGAATATTTGATTTTCAATTTGTTGCACAGAACAAAGGCGGACAAAGGATTATTCGTTAAAGGGTTCCTAATCAGGGCCGAATAATAGCGAAGAATTCTGATCCCGAGAAATAAAAACAAACCTCAACCATTTTATCATGTACATAATGGCTTGTTGAATGAAGTACCGAAAGAGACCATCATAGGTATAGGTATAGATAGGGATATTTAGCACTGGGGGAAACCGGTATGGACAGGTGATTCCATTCCGTGTCACGTAAAAGCTTTTGATTCACTGACGGACCTTATGATTTAAAAACGCGCGAGTTGGATCACTAGATCACTGTTCTAGTTAGGGCGAGAGAGAGAGAGAAATGGGGTTTAACGTCCACTCGACACAAACTAGATCATCTCGGGACTAATACACGGTTCATTTTTATATCAATAATTCGCTTGCGCGTAAGGGTCTTTAGCAGTGGGAGGACCCGGAGAAAACCCACGAGGTTGGACAGGCGACCCTACTCCTTGTCACGTACAACCGGGAAATCGAAACCCCGCCAATTGCCAAATGACTCAATGACAGACCAATGCAACCCCCCCCCCCCCCAGTGAGTTAGGCGATGGGTCATTAATCAGGATGCCCTATGTTTAATGGTTAGATGTAAACACGGCTTGCGCTAATCCCAACCCTAATCCTGGATCTAACCCTAATGCTTGCCCTAACCCTAACCAACAAAATTGCCAACCTTATTTACATCTCAGAGACCTTGATAAAAATTGAGCTGGCCTTAACCATGTTCAGTCCAGGTGTTAGCCGAGACAGTTCAACGTGATTCCCAATGCCAGTGGTGTGGGTTGAATGACCTGGTCAGAAACAACGTCTAGTCTAAAAGAATGACCCGGATATTGTGCTTACAAGACGTTAAACCCTGTTCCATTCATTCTCCAATATACATGGAAAACCATCTTTAGAAATCAACCCAACGATGCTATTAACCCCAGAAAGACCATGATGTAATAAGAGAACTGATGTTTTTATAACAACACCACACCAAATATCATTAAAGTTTTCTAAATACTTCACAAGCAATAGAAAAATCACTAGTCAAATTGTCTTTATTAAATCAAGCAGAACGCAAAACACGAAGTATGGTAACACAATACCAACACGGCGATAAAACCATGGCATAGTCACGGAAACGGAAATTGTACATGTACGAAGTAGGCGGGTGGATCAACACATAAAACACAGAATTCGATAGTTGATGGAACGTGTCATACGATGCCTAATGATCCATGAAAATATTGTCAGATCTTATTTATTGACAATCGTTTCTTTTTTTACTTAATTGTTTTCTAGTAATCGACAATACACCTTTGTTTATTTTATTACCACATTCCTGTCACGCTTCCAAGACTCTTACATGGGAATAACTTAATGTGTTTTAGACATAAAGCAACATCTTTGACAGGGCCAACACTGACTTTCCATTTTTTCCCGTCACAGTGGATCACAGACAAGTGTTTATATAGCTTTCGATTAACTGGAATGTTTTAAAGGACAATATTGGTGTCAGTCATTATCACGTATGTGATAGAACTCGTTAAACACGTTCCAAATATAATACAGAGATCGTTGCTACGATAGATGCGTAACTGGAATGTTTTAAAGGACAACATTGGTGCCAGTCATTATCACGTATGTGATAGAACTCGTTAATACGTTCCAAATATAATACAGAGATCGTTGCTACGATAGATGCGTAACTGGAATGTTTTAAAGGACAATATTGGTGTCAGTCATTATCACGTATGTGATAGAACTCGTTAAACACGTTCCAAATATAATACAGAGATTGTTGCTACGATAGATGCGTAATAAAGGTTTCAACAATCGGAAAGTGACGAACGCAAAAGGAAAACACGAGTTATCCTTCTATATAGCTGACTGACGTGACGAGTGATAACAGATACACGGGCGAATTTCTGCTCACTAATAATTTCTTTGAAGAACAAAAGTTGTTATATCAGACTGTGGGAGGATATCTGATAATTCAAAAAAGTAATTGAATGTCACTTGATAAGGGAAAACGAGAAAAATAAAAAAAAGTCCATACATTCCCTTGCTTTTATTCATTCTATAAAAACATTGTAATGCACGGACTCTAGCTATTTTTCTCGTTCTATCACATGGGATAATGACTGATGCCAATATTGTGTTTTAAAGCACAATATTTGTGCCAGTCATTATCATATATGTGATAGAACTGATTAAACACGTTCCAAATATTATTTTATCACAGAGATCATAATTGCTACGATAGGTGAGTAATCAATGTTTCAACAATAGGAAGTGACGAACGCAAAAAGGAAACTGAATGAAGTGACGGGTGATAACAGATATACATGGGCGAATTTCTGTTCACTAAAAATTCCTTCGAAGACGACCCAAAGTTGTTAAATGAAACTGTAGGAGTATATCGGACAATTCAAAAAAGTAATTGCATGCCATTAGATAAAAGAACACGAGACAAATAGAAACAGTCCGTACATTCACGGGTGTTTATTCATTCTATACCTTATAAAAACATGGTAATGCACGGTAATGTTCTCTTATCTAGTGAGAGTCAATTTTGTTTATGAATTGTCAGATATCCTTTCACAGTCCCATATAGCAACTTTTGGTCTTCGAAGGAATTAATATTATTTGGAACGTGTGATAATGACTGGCACCAATATTGTCCTTTAACTGTCCAAAATAAGAACCATTGTAATAACATTCAATAGTTTTATTTCTCTTCTATGAAACAATTTCATGTCTTCATTAGCCAAGTCGGTGTAGAACAGTAGGACGTTAAACCCCATTTCATTTTATTACATGAAATAATTATATACAAGATGATACAACAACTTAGAAAATCCTTCTTTGTTTTCCATTATCTCAGTTTGGAAATACTTTATTAGGTTTATTTTTTAGTTAATGATACATTATTCAAGAGCTAAATTGGCCCATTGCCGGTCTTTCTTTAGACCTTAAATGTTATATAAACTATTAATTAGACATTTATTAACTTAATTCTGTAAATATGTGGGCTTTATAAACTGCCAGCCTTGTTTCATAAAGTTACCAAATGCCAAATCACTTTATATCTCGGAAGATAGCACTAGGTTTCACGTTTTATGGTTTCTAACCTTAAAATATTAAAAAAAAAAGAAAAAAAAAAAAGAAATAATGGAAGACATTCAAACATTAAATTTTTATTATTTTTTTTATGGCACTATAACTACACATGAG